GCAGCCCCCGCCGCACGTTTCACCTACGTGCACGAATTTTCTGTGGTACGTGTATCTTGTCCAGACGCACAAAAAAGCTCTTGGAGCCATAGCCTAAACAACAGGAAGTCGGCCATTTTGAATTTTACGTCAAATTTTGGATGATTTACACACTTCGTACTTTAACGAACTCCTCCTAGGGATTTAGTCCGACCGACCTCAAATTTGTGCTGTGCCTTCTAAAGGCATTGAAGATGAAAAGTTGTGCTATTTGCAAGTTTTCGTCAATGGGCGTGTCCGTGGCGTGGCGTCAAAGATCAGCTCTTCGCCATGACACGGAAGTTGTCGTAACTTCAGTGTACATGCTCACATCTGGACCAAACTGTACATGTAGGATGAGAGTCCCGCCCTGAACACATGTACATGCTGACATTCACCCACAGTCATAGCGCCACCTGCTGGCAACAGGAAGTGACTTTTAACGAAGCAGCCCCCGCCGCACGTTTTACCTACGTGCACGAATTTTCTGTGGTACGTGTATCTTGTCCAGACGCACAAAAAAGCCTCTTGGAGCGATGCCTAAAATCAACAGGAAGTCGGCCATTTTGAATTTTACGTCAAATTTTGGATGATTTACACACTTCGTACTTTAACGAACTCCTCCTAGGGATTTAGTCCGACCGACCTCAAATTTGTGCTGTGCCTTCTAAAGGCATTGAAGATGAAAAGTTGTGCTATTTGCAAGTTTTCGTCAATGGGCGTGTCCGTGGCGTGGCGTCAAAGATCAGCTCTTCGCCATGACACGGAAGTTGTCGTAACTTCAGTGTACATGCTCACATCTGGACCAAACTGTACATGTAGGATGAGAGTCCCGCCCTGAACACATGTACATGCTGACATTCACAGACAGTCATAGCGCCACCTGCTGGCAACAGGAAGTGACTTTTAACGAAGCAGCCCCCGCCGCACGTTTTACCTACGTGCACGAATTTTCTGTGGTACGTGTATCTTGTCCAGACGCACAAAAAAGCCTCTTGGAGCGATGCCCTAAAATCAACAGGAAGTCGGCCATTTTGAATTTTACGTCAAATTTTGGATGATTTACACACTTCGTACTTTAACGAACTCCTCCTAGGGATTTAGTCCGACCGACTTCAAATTTGTGCTGTGCCTTCTAAAGGCATTGAAGATGAAAAGTTGTGCTATTTGCGAGTTTTCGTCAATGGGTGTGTCCGTGGCGTGGCGTCAGAGATCAAGTCTTCGCCATGACACAGGAAGTTGTTGTAACTTCAGTGTACATGCTCACATCTGAACCAAACTTTACGTGCTTGATAACTCTCCCACCCCGCTATGGAGGACCGATCCTGACACAGTCAGAAATAAATACAGAAATAAATAAGTGCTCAATAAATACATAAGCATCCAATTAAATACACAAAAAAATTAATGCTGCAAGCAGCGTTGGGCGGGCCCTCGCACTTGTAAGCGCGTCCGCGCGTGAGCCGGCCGAGTTGCATATTCTGGAGCTCTGCCGGTGCGGCTGTGAATTTGCTACGCGGTTATGACGCCGCATGAAGGTGTTATATGTCACTTCCTGTGTCCCCTATGTGGAGCTACATAGCACTTGCCGCTATGAATATAAATCGGTATTGACGTGTAGATGTCTGCGGGGTGGGAGAGTTATCAAGCACGTAAAGTTTGTTTCAGATGTGAGCATGTACACTGAACAATAATGTACCCAAACAATAAAATAAATTCCTTTTATATTTCCCTGCCTTGTTGTTTATGTGTACATACAGAGGAAGAATGTGAGAACAGCACACATTTCATCGTTACTGTGTGTTAGAGCATGGGAGAACAGTGGATACTTTTAATACAGCCCACACCCCTAATACTGTGTAACTATAACAAGTAGAGAACAGAAGAAAAAGATGTTCTTTCTTTACAACTGTCTGCATAGCTTATTCATATTGTGTAATGAATGAAAATAAATAGGCCTACTAGGCTCCTCTCTACTTTGACATTTAAGATTAGCTTGTTTGATCCACCTTCATACACATGTGACATTACTGTACAACTTGAGAAAGGTGAGTTGTTTTCTGCTCCAGCCTGCCTAAAAGAAAAGCGTTTTTGGGATTAAATGGACTTTATTAGCTGCTGCAGTGCAGGATGAACTCAGAACAGACCCATTTCTCACCTTATTATTCTAAATCATGCAACGAAGAAGAAGAAATGCATAATAAATCCTGGGACAAAATCTGTCCACAAATACTGTACAGCATGTAGTCTGATGAACAAGACTTGTGTTATAGCTGACTTGGGCAGTGAAATGTTTAATTTTTTTAATTCATGTGGTCATAGTTGTCCACAACTCAAATCAGAATATAAGAAGAAATGTTTTATACCACCTCAAGAAGGCTTCCTATCAGAAAGGTAGGAAGGTATTTCAAATGTACAACTGCAGTACTTAAATCTAAGTAATTTCCCTGACATTTTTGTGTTACTTTACTTTTAATAGACCATGTAACAGGTTTTATACTTCCGTGAGTATAATCCAATCAATCTTATTTTCATACTGTATATCCGTTGTGTAATTTGATAAATTGTGTTGTATGTCGTGCTCGCATCTCAGAGAAGACTCTGACTGCAACATGCGTCTTTGTAAAGAGAGAAACGGACAGAAAAAGTCTCTAACTCTGCCTGTCAGCTCGCTCTGCTCCGTTAAAACTGAATTTACCATACAGAATTGAATACGAGTGCACTCCAGATTTAGCTGCAGCCAGCTGACCGTGTGCTTCTCCCTATACCGCAGTTCTGTGTCCATGCATGCAGCAAACTGAAAGCACTGTCTGTCGGAGCGTCTACGTGAAAAGAGAAGGAAGACATGGTGGTAGTGTCTTCAGAGTTGTTAAACACCTCAGCGCACTGAAGGAAGCCATCTGACTGTGTGAGGGGCAAGATCGTTGATGTCTGCAGGCAGAGAGTAGAGCTCTCCTGTCTGACTGGTCCACCAATAGCAGAGAAGATGACCCCTTGAGACACAGCCCCTCCTCATTTGCATAATGAGGCAGAAATGCATACAAAATTTAAAAAGGACAGGAGAAATAAAAGAGAAAGAAAATAAATAAGGTAAATACAAAGGAAGAATAAAACAGACAAAAATATTAAAACACACACATAAATAAATACATTAAAAAATTAGTAATAAATAAAGTTGAAGATTATAACGGAGAATAAATAAATAAGGTAATTATAACAAAGGTGAATAAGTAAAGGCACTAATTAAAAATATACATTATGTCTCCTTGTATAATTTAATTAATACCTACATTTATTTATTTACTTTATTTTTTGTGTATTTAATTGGATGCTTATTTATTTATTGAGCATTTATTTATTTCTGTATTTATTTCTGACTGTGTCAGGATCGGTCCTCCATAGCGGGGTGGGAGAGTTATCAAGCACGTAAAGTTTGGTTCAGATGTGAGCATGTACACGTAAGTTACAACAACTTCCTGTGTCATGGCGAAGACTTGATCTCTGACGCCACGCCACGGACACACCCATTGACGAAAACTCGCAAATAGCACAACTTTTCATCTTCAATGCCTTTAGAAGGCACAGCACAAATTTGAAGTCGGTCGGACTAAATCCCTAGGAGGAGTTCGTTAAAGTACGAAGTGTGTAAATCATCCAAAATTTGACGTAAAATTCAAAATGGCCGACTTCCTGTTGATTTTAGGGCATCGCTTCAAGAGGCTTTTTTGTGCGTCTGGACAAGATACACGTACCACAGAAAATTCGTGCACGTAGGTGAAACGTGCGGCGGGGGCTGCTTCGTTAAAAGTCACTTCCTGTTGCCAGCAGGTGGCGCTATGACTGTGGGTGAATGTCGGCATGTACATGTGTTCAGGGCGGGACTCTCATCCTACATGTACACTTTGGTCCAGATGTGAGCATATACACTGAAGTTACGACAAATTCCTGTGTCATGGCGAAGACTTGATCTTTGACGCCACGCCACGGACACGCCCATTGACGAAAACTCCCAAATAGCACAACTTTTCATCTTCAATGCGTTTAGAAGGCACAGCAGAAATTTGAGGTCGGTCGGACTAAATCCCTAGGAGGAGTTCGTTAAAGTACGAAGTGTGTAAATCATCCAAAATTTGACGTAAAATTCAAAATGGCCGACTTCCTGTTGGGTTTAGGCTATGGCTCCAAGAGGCTTTTTTGTGCATCTGGACAAGATACACGTACCACAGAAAATTCGTGCACGTAGGTGAAACGTGTGGCGGGGGCTGCTTCGTTAAAGGTCACTTCCTGTTGCCAGCAGGTGGCGCTATGACTGTGGGTGAATGTCGGCATTTACATGTGTTCAGGGCTGGACTCTCATCCTACATATACAGTTTGGTCCAGATGTGAGCATATACACTGAAGTTACGACAACTTCCTGTGTCATGGCGAAGAGTTGATCTTTGACGCCACGCCACAGACACGCCCATTGACGAAAACTCGCAAATAGCACAACTTTTCATCTTCAATGCCTTTAGAAGGCACAGCAGAAATTTGAGGTCGGTCAGACTAAATCCCTAGGAGGAGTTCGTTAAAGTACGAAGTGTGTAAATCATCCAAAAATGGCCGTAAAATTCAAAATGGCCGACTTCCTGTTGACTTTAGGGTATGGATTCTTGAGGCTTTTTTGTGCGTCTTGATATGATACATGTCCCCAGAAAATTTCGTGCATGTAGGTTGAACGTGAACGAGGGGCTAATTTTTTCCAATTTTCTAGGTAGCGCTAGCGAGTCATTTTGCCACGCCCATGTGCGAAACTTGTAGAATACGAAATTTTTCACCGGTTCTGTGCTCGGGCCCTAATAATAATCTGAGCAAATTCAATAGGGACCTCGCACGGTCGTGCTCGGGCCCTAAAAAAAAAAAAATATATATATATATATATATATTATATATATATATATATCTTAGCAAATTCAATAGGGACCTCGCACGGTCATGCTCGGGCCCTAAAAATATAATCTTAGCAAATTCAATAGGGACCTCACACGGTCGTGTTTGGGCCCAAAATATATAAAAGCATTTATTTATATAATGTATGAAAAGTATATACTCCAAAATAGCAACAGCTTATATAACATTTTTAACATCCATACAAGAGATAAGAGTGAAACAATATGTAACATGTTCACATGATCAGACGTTTAAGAGGTAAAACAACTTTTCTGAGGGGGGAAAAAAAAGCAAACAGACTTCTTATATTTGATATGTTGGCTCTCCAGTCCAGTTGCTATGGGAACAGCCAGTGACACCTGAGAAAGATGCTCATGGCATCCTGCAGACAGGATGAGCAAGGAGCGTGCCAGCTCCACCCAGCAATTTGTAGTTTAGGCCAATCACCAGTGAGCAGAATTGACTGATGCCGACAAAGTCACAGCAGAGGATGTTGACTCCACCAGCCTCACGCCCCGGCCGCTGCTCGCTCACCCAGCCGAGCAGCAGAGAGAGAGCCCTCATCGTCATCTTCCTCATGTTCTGGAGGGGATGGAGGAGGATGTAAGGAGCGTCTTCTGTCAGGTTCAGACCGCTGACGTAAAAACCAGCTGGGAAACAAACAGTTAATGAAAGAAGCATGTTGCCTGAAGTTCAGACTCGTAAAACCAACAAACCAGTGAGTACAATTAGACCTACGCAGTTGTACTATACTGAAGCACAGTTTTGAGGTACACATAGTGTTTGAGTGTTTCCATTTTATGCAACTTTTTACTTCTACTCCTAGTCCTATATAGTAGCTTTTACTTTCACATTTATTTAACAGCTATACATGATGATGATACTTTGTCACATCAAGTCTGAAATTTTTTTTGCATCACAGCAGCTCCATTTACAACATCATACAAAGAACAAAAATTAAGGTCAACATACATTTGGTCTGGGATTAAGCTTAATATTGAATTTCAGGATTGACTTGTTTACATAAAAGTGCTTCGGTCTAACCTTATTAAATAGTGGCCCCTTGTATCTCTGGTTTGATGGTAACAATGTGTGTTCACTGTTTCAGATTACATATAAAACATATACATTTAAAAAATATGATGCAAAGTTTTAGATTAAACTTTCCAACAGTATTTTAAATTAGCTTCACGATTTACAGACATCAATACTAATGACCCAACAATATAATAAAAAATTGACAGGGGCCATTCTGCAAAAAGACTGGTTGTACTTCACGTGTGATATTGCTACTTTTACTTTAGTAAAAGATTTGAATACTTCTTGTATCACCCCCCACCTGGTCTTCCTCTGTGCTTCTGGTCCTCCAGGTAGGCGATCACCTTCTTTGGGTCTGGGCTGTCAGCATACCTGGAGACAGAGCACCCCCATTAGGCCAGCCAGTTTAATGTTTAGATCAGTTTTTACTTGATTTACAGCTTAGTCTACAGAAAAAAAATGTTGACCCTGTTGGGTATGGTCATATTGAAGCCTAAGATAGCAATTAGTTGTCAATTCTGATACTAGCAACGTGCCATAATGGTGAGCTTATTCTTGTTTTTAATGCATAACAATACAACATGGTGTAAAACACATTTATTAGGGCCCAAGCACAACCGTGCAAGGTCCCTATTGAATTTGTAAAGATTTTTTTTTTCTTCTTTTTCTCCATTTTGGGGACCTGACCATACTCGAAAACTCAAACTTTGCACACATGTCAGAACTGCTGAAAAATTTCGTATTTTCTGGGTTTCGCGCATGGGCGTGGAAAAATGACTCGCTAGCGCCACCTAGAAAATTGGAAAAGATTATCCCCTCGTTCACGTTCAACCTACATGTACGGAATTTTCTGGGGACATGTATCATCTCAAGGCGCACAAAAAAGCCTCAAGAACCCATACCCTAAAGTCAACAGGAAGTCGGCCATTTTGAATTTTACGGCCATTTTTGGATGATTTACACACTTCGTACTTTAACGAACTCCTCCTAGGGATTTAGTCGGATCGACGTCAAATTTCTGCTGTGCCTTCTAAAGGCATTGACGATGAAAAGTTGTGCTATTTGCGAGTTTTTGTCAATGGGCGTGTCTGTGGCGTGGCGTCAAAGATCAACTCTTCGCCATGACACAGGAAGTTGTTGTAACTTCAGTGTACATGCTCACATCTGCACCAAACTTTACGTGCTTGATAACTGTCCCACCCCGAAGACATCTACACGCCAATACCGATTTATATTCATAGCGGCAAGTGCTATGTAGCTCCACATAGGGAACACAGGAAGTGACATATAGCACCTTCATACGGCGTCGGAACCGCGTAGCAAATTCACAGCCGCACCGGCAGAGCTCCAGAATGTGCAACTCGGCCGGCTCACACCCGGACGCGCTACAAGTGCGAGGGCCCGCCCAATGCTGCTTGCAGCTTTAATCTTTAAATTAGAATTATTAGAGATACAAACGCGTGTTTACCAGTAAGGTATTCCAGTCCACAGCTCAGGGTGCTGCATCACCATCTGCTGGTTGTCATAGGAAATAATGACCTGCTGACCTCTGGACCAACAGGAACGCAGCGTAGGAGTGTCCTGCATATAAACACATGCATGTTCAGAATTCCACACAATCAAAAAAAATGTATATATAATTAAGTCAATAAAATGTCAAATGTTTTTGTTTTGTCCAAAAAACAGTCTAAAACCTATTTAGGGCCCGAGCACGACCGTGCGAGGTCCCTATTGAATTTGCTAAGATTTTTTTTTTTTTTCTTTTTTCTGCAAAGTAGGCTCAACTGACATGGCCTAAACATACTCGAAAACTCACCAAAATTTGCAAACATGTCAGAACCGGTGAAAAATTTCGTATTTTATGGGTTTCACGCATGGGCGTGGCAAAATGACTCGCTAGCGCCACCTAGAAAATTGGAAAAAATTAGCCCCTCGTTCACGTTCAACCTACATGCACGAAATTTTCTGGGGACATGTATCATATCAAGACGCACAAAAAAGCCTCAAGAACCCATACCCTAAAGTCAACAGGAAGTCGGCCATTTTGAATTTTACGTCCATTTTTGGATGATTTACACACTTCGTACTTTAACGAACTCCTCCTAGGGATTTAGTCTGACCGACTTCAAATTTCTGCTGTGCCTTCTAAAGGCATTGAAGATGAAAAGTTGTGCTATTTGCGAGTTTTCGTCAATGGGCGTGTCTGTGGCGTGGCGTCAAAGATCAACTCTTCGCCATGACACAGGAAGTTGTCGTAACTTCAGTGTATATGCTCACATCTGGACCAAACTATATATGTAGGATGAGAGTCCAGCCCTGAACACATGTAAATGCCGACATTCACCCACAGTCATAGCGCCACCTGCTGGCAACAGGAAGTGACTTTTAACGAAGCAGCCCCCGCCACACGTGTCACCTACGTGCACGAATTTTCTGTGGAACGTGTATCTTGTCCAGATGCACAAAAAAGCCTCTTGGAGCAATGCCCTAAAATCAACAGGAAGTCGGCCATTTTGAATTTTACGTCAAATTTTGGATGATTTACACACTTCGTACTTTAACGAACTCCTCCTAGGGATTTTGTCCGACCGACTTCAAATTTCTGCTGCGCCTTCTAAAGGCATTGAAGATGAGAAGTTGTGCTATTTGCGAGTTTTCGTCAATGGGTGTGGGCGTGGCGTCAGAGATCAAGTCTTCGCCATGACACAGGAAGTTGTTGTAACTTCAGTGTACATGCTCACATCTGAACCAAACTTTACGTGCTTGATAACTCTCCCACCCCGCTATGAAGGACCCATCCTGACACAGTCAGAAATAAATACAGAAATAAATAAATGCTCAATAAATAAATAAGCATCCATTTAAATACACAAAAAAATAAAGTAAATAAATAAATGTAGGTAGTAATTAAATTATACAAGGAGACATAAATGTATATATTTAATTAGTGCCTTTACTTATTCACCTTTGTTATAATTACCTTATTTATTTATTCTCCGTTATAATCTTCAACTTTATTTATTACTAATTTTTTAAATGTATTTATTTATGTGTGTGTTTTAATATTTTTGTCTGTTTTATTCTTCCTTTGTATTTTTTTTTACCTTATTTATTTTCTTTCTCTTTTATTTCTTCCTGTCCTTTTTAAATTTCTGTATGCATTTCTGCCTCATTATGCAAATGAGTAGGTGCTGTGTCTCAAGGGGTCATCTTCTCTGCTATTGGTGGACCAGTCAGGCAGGAGAGCTCTAGGCCTACTCTGCCTGCAGACATCAACGATCTTGCCCCTCACACAGTCAGATGGCTTCCTTCAGTGCTCTGAGGTGTTTAACAAGTCTGAAGACAATACTACCAGCCATGTCTTCCTTCTCTTTTCACATAGACGCTCCGACAGACAGTGCTTTCAGTTTGCTGCATGCATGGACACAGAACTGCAGTATAGGGAGAAGAACACGGTCAGCTGGCTGCAGCTAAATCTGGAGTGCACTCGTATTCAATTCTGTATGGTAAATTCAGTTTTAACGGAGCAGAGCGAGCTGACAGGCAGAGTTAGAGACTTTTTCTGTCCGTTTCTCTCTTTACAAAGACGCATGTTGCAGTCAGAGTCTTCTCTGAAGAGGGCAATGAAGTCTCAGTAGTACACGATGCGAGCACGACATACAACACAATTTATGAAATTACACAACGGATATACAGTATGAAAATAAGATTGATTGGATTATACTCACAAGAAGTATAAAACCTGTTACATGAGTCTATTAAAAGTAAAGTAACACAAAAATGTAAGGGAAATTACTTTACTTAGATTTAAGTACTGCAGTTGTACATTTGAAATACCTTCCTAACTTTCTGATAGGAAGCCTTCTTGAGGTGGTATAAAACATTTCTTCTTATATTCTGATTTGAGTTGTGGACAACTATGACCACATGAATTTAAAAAATTAAACATTTCACTGCCAAAGTCAGCTATAACACAAGTCTTGTTCATCAGACTACATGCTGTACAGTATTTGTGGACAGATTTTGTCCCAGGATTTATTATGCATTTCTTCTTCTTCGTTGCATGATTTAGAATAATAAGGTGAGAAATGGGTCTGTTCTGAGTTCATCCTGCACTGCAGCAGCTAATAAAGTCCATTTAATCCCAAAAACGCTTTTCTTTTAGGCAGGCTGGAGCAGAAAACAACTCACCTTTCTCAAGTTGTACAGTAATGTCACGTGTGTATGAAGGTGGATCAAACAAGCTAATCTTAAATGTCAAAGTAGAGAGGAGCCTAGTAGGCCTATTTATTTTCATTCATTACACAATATGAATAAGCTATACAGACAGTTGTAAAGAAAGAACATCTTTTTCTTCTGTTCTCTACTTGTTATAGTTACACAGTATTAGGGGTGTGGGCTGTATTAAAAGTATCCACTGTTCTCCCATGCTCTAACACACAGTAACGATGAAATGTGTGCTGTTCTCACATTCTTCCTCTATATGTACAGATAAACAACAAGGCAGGGAAATATAAAAGGAATTTATTTTATTGTTTGGGTACATTATTGTTCAGTGTACATGCTCACATCTGAAACAAACTTTACGTGCTTGATAACTCTCCCACCCCGCAGACATCTACACGCCAATACCGATTTATATTCATAGCGGCAAGTGCTATGTAGCTCCACATAGGGGACACAGGAAGTGACATATAACACCTTCATGCGGCGTCATAACCGCGTTGCAAATTCACAGCCGCACCGGCAGAGCTCCAGAATATGCAACTCGGCCGGCTCACACGCGGACGCGCTTACAAGTGTGAGGGCCCGCCCAACGCTGCTTGCAGCTTTAATTATTATTATAGTATTATATTCCTCAATTATTAAAATGATTGTGGACTAATTCTCTGTCGATAGACTAATTGATTTCCTCGTCTTTGTCTGTATATATCAGCCCAGCTACCTGTGAGGAGCAGAGCTTCTTTCCAAACAGCGTGACGATGAACTCCACAAGGTGGGCGTGATCTTCGTCATTCAGCAATTCAAAATGCGAGCAGGAAATGATTACGATCTCTTTGGGATGAGCGTCCAACCAGGTAGTTAGTTCCTCAAGAGCCTCCTACATACACACACAAAGACACACTAACACACAAAGTCGTATTTTCTATTCAAGTTCTTATCAGTAACTTCTGTAACTCAGGCCTGCATTGGCTCAACTCAATTTCCATGACACCAGAGTTGGAGTTTAGTGAGTCTTTTCTTGCTTCTGGGTTGTTTGGACATACCTGCTGTATGTGCGCATACTGCTGTATGTTTGTGTACCTTCACAGTCATTAGTGTGTAGATACCATGGGCGAAGAACAATTTGCTGCCTGCTGCTGGCTTCCTGGCGATCCGCAGGTCCAAGTAACGAATACCGAGCTCACACTGATCAGTGAGGACTGCTTGCTGCATACACACATGAAAGAAGAGAAAGAGAATAAATACAAAACTATTGAAACATGTACATATATAAAAAGTTCAATGCAAGTGGAAGTAACTCCAGTCCCAGTCTTAAATTGACAGAATTAATCAATAGCAAATTAAACAGGAAGTATTTTGATATTAATTGTGATGGACATTTTCGATATATATTTCAAATAAAGGCAATTTAATCATTTTTGAAAAAAAATAATTAGCTGCAACCCTAAGCAAAAGCCTTCGTCTTTTTTGTTGAGGAAGGAAACTGAAACACCAGGAGAAAAACAGTCTATGCAAACTTGACCCCACCAACAACAACACAGAAGTTTAATGTGGATCTGGTGAAGTCTGGACTGATAACAAGTTCATATGTGTATATATATATATATATATATATACACATATGGGTGCTCCTCTAACGTTACCTGTGTGGTGGCCCAGCGGTAAAGACAGGGCCGAGTCCAGCAGGGAAACAGCCTGTCAATCACTCTGAGGAGACAGGGCTCTGATCTCAGAACAGGAGAGGACACATCCAGACAGAAAGACATGCTGTCATGGCTCCCTGTTGTGAGAGACGGAGGGCAGCCAGACATTTATATGCCCAAATTATGTGCACCCGTGTCCATAAAATTTTAGCCATGCAGTGTAACATTAACGTTACATACAGAGTAGAGACACACAGGAAGGGGAGCCAGACATCCCCAGAATACATTGGTTAGTGATATAACCGGAAATAAAGATAAATAAATAAAAACATTAATCTGTATGTTATCGGTACTTTTCTATTGTGATCGTAGTCTGGATTATTTTCCAAAAAGAGCCCAGTAACCCCGGTAGTTTTCTTTTACCTGGTATAGCCAGGTTCCACAGCAGGACATCCAGCAGCTGCTCGGGCAGACTGGACATCCAGTCCGGGTATCCTCCGAGCTGGAGCCCCTGTTGTTCTTCCATGTTCTTCACCTGATATATTTAGCTGTTTTAATGCTTCGCTGCTCTGCTACAAGTTTACAGTTTAAATTACGAAAGTTTAACATGCTCCTTTCCCTCCTTGTTCCGAAAACACCGCTTATGAAACGGTTAGCGGCTACAACAAGCTAATACTTCCTGTGACAACCTTCAAAATAAAACGATATGAGATTTTTCGGGAAATAAAGCAATCTCAAGCATGATGACCAGTCATCAAAAAGTTCATTAGGGCCCGAGCACGACCGTGCGAGGTCCCTATTGAATTTGCTAAGATTTTATATATATATATATATATATATATATATATATATATATTTTCTTTTTTTTTTTTTTTTTTTTTCCTGCGAAGTAAGCTCCATTGACGGGGCCTAAACATACTCGAAAACTCACCAAACTTTGCACACATGTCAGAACTGGTGAATAATTTCGTATTTTATGGGTTTCACGCATGGGCGTGGCAAAATGACATAGCGCCACCTAGAAAATTGGAAAAGATTATCCCCTCGTTCACGTTCAACCTACATGTACGAACTTTTCTGGGGACATGTATCATATCAAGACGCACAAAAAAGCCTCAAGAACCCATAACCTAAAGTCAACAGGAAGTCGGCCATTTTGAATTTTACGGCCATTTATGGATGATTTACACACTTCGTACTTTAACGAACTCCTCCTAGGGATTTAGTCGGATTGAAGTCAAATTTCTGCTGTGCCTTCTAAAGGCATTGAAGATGAAAAGTTGTGCTATTTGCGAGTTTTCGTCAATGGGCGTGTTCACCCACAGTCATAGCGCGGGTGTGGGTGAATGTCAGCATGTACATGTGTTCAGGGCGGGACTCTCATCCTAGATGTACAGTTTGGTCCAGATGTGAGCATGTACACTGAAGTTACAACAACTTCCTGTTTCATAGCGAATCATCGACGCCACGGACACGCCCATTGACGAAAACGCGCAAATAGCACAACTTTTCATCGTCAATGCCTTTAGAAGGCACAGCAGAAATTTGACGTCGATCCGACTAAATCCCTAGGAGGAGTTCGTTAAAGTACGAAGTGTGTAAATCATCCATAAATGGCCGTAAAATTCAAAATGGCCGACTTCCTGTTGACTTTAGGTTATGGGTTCTTGAGGCTTTTTTGTGCGTCTTGATATGATACATGTCCCCAGAAAATTTCGTACATGTAGGTTGAACGTGAACGAGGGGCAAATTTTTTCCAATTTTCTAGGTGGCGCTAGCGAGTCATTTTGCAACGCCCATGTGCGAAACTTGTAGAATACGAAATTTTTCACCGGTTCTGACATGTTTGCAAATTTTGGTGAGTTTTCGAGAATGTTTAGGCCATGTCAGTTGAGCCTACTTTGCAGAAAAAATAAATAAATAAATTAAAGCTGCAAGCAGCGTTGGGCGGGCCCTCGCACTTGTAGCGCGTCCGCGCGTGAACCGGCCGAGTTGCATATTCTGGAGCTCTGCCGGTGCGGCTGTGAATTTCCTACGCGGTTCCGACGCCGCATGAAGGTGCTATATGTCACTTCCTGTGTCCCCTATGTGGAGCTACATAGCACTTGCCGCTATGAATATAAATCGGTATTGGCGTGTAGATGTCTGCGGGGTGGGAGAGTTATCAAGCACGTAAAGTTTGTTTCAGATGTGATCATGTACACTGAACAATAATGTACACAAACAATAAAATAAATTCCTTTTATATTTCCCTGCCTTGTTGTTTATGTGTACATACAGAGGGAGAATGTGAGAACAGCACACATTTCATCGTTACTGTGTGTTAGAGCATGGGAGAACAGTGGATACTTTTAATACAGCCCACACCCCTAATACTGTGTAACTATAACAAGTAGAGAACAGAAGAAAAAGATGTTCTTTCTTTACAACTGTCTGCATAGCTTATTCATATTGTGTAATGAATGAAAATAAATAGGTCTACTAGGATCCTCTCTACTTTGACATTTAAGATTAGCTTGTTTGATCCACCTTCATACACATGTGACATTACTGTACAACTTGAGAAAGGTGAGTTGTTTTCTGCTCCAGCCTGCCTAAAAGAAAAGCGTTTTTGGGATTAAATGGACTTTATTAGCTGCTGCAGTGCAGGATGAACTCAGAATAGACCCATTTCTCACCTTATTATTCTAAATCATGCAACGAAGAAGAAGAAATGCATAATAAATCCTGGGACAAAATCTGTAGTCAAATACTGTACAGCATGTAGTCTGATGAACAAGACTTGTGTTATAGCTGACTTGGGCAGTGAAATGTTTTTTTAATTCATGTGGTCATAGTTGTCCACAACTCAAATCAGAATATAAGAAGAAATGTTTTATACCACCTCAAGAAGGCTTCCTATCAGAAAGGTAGGAAGGTATTTCAAATGTACAACTGCAGTACTTAAATCTAAGTAAAGTAATTTCCCTGATATTTTTGTGTTACTTTACTTTTAATAGACCCATGTAAGAGGTTTTATACTTCCTGTGAGTATAATCCAATCAATCTTATTTTCATACTGTATATCCGTTGTGTAATTTGATTAATTGTGTTGTATGTCGTGCTCGCATCTCAGAGAAGACTCTGACTGCAACATGCGTCTTTGTAAAGAGAGAAACGGACAGAAAAAGTCTCTAACTCTGCCTGTCAGCTCGCTCTGCTCCGTTAAAACTGAATTTACCATACAGAATTGAATACGAGTGCACTCCAGATTTAGCTGCAGCCAGCTGACCGTGTGCTTCTCCCTATACCGCAGTTCTGTGTCCATGCATGCAGCAAACTGAAAGCACTGTCTGTCGGAGCGTCTACGTGAAAAGAGAAGGAAGACATTGCTGGTAGTATTGTCTTCAGAGTTGTTAAACACCTCAGCGCACTGAAGGAAGTCATCTGACTGTGTGAGGGGCAAGATCGTTGATGTCTGCAGGCAGAGTAGGAGCTCTCCTGCCTGACTGGTCCACCAATAGCAGAGAAGATGACCCCTTGAGACACAGCCCCTCCTCATTTGCATAATGAATTTTCTAGGTGGCGCTAGCGAGTTTTGCCACGCCCATGTGCGAAACTTGTAGAATACGAAATTTTTCACCGGTTCTGACATGTTTGCAAATTTTGGTGAGTTTTCGAGTATGTTTAGGCAATGTCATTTGGGCCTACTTTGCAGAAAAAAAAAAAAAAAATATATATATATATATAATATATAATCCGAGCAAATTCAATAGGGACCTCGCACGGTCGTGCTCGGGCCCTAATTAAAGCTGCAAGCAGCGTTGGGCGGGCCCTCGCACTTGTAGCGCGTCCGCGCGTGAACCGGCCGAGTTGCACATTCTGGAGCTCTGCCGGTGCGGCTGTGAATTTCCTACGCGGTTCCGACGCCGCATGAAGGTGCTATATGTCACTTCCTGTGTCCCCTATGTGGAGCTACATAGCACTTGCCGCTATGAATATAAATCGGTATTGGCGTGTAGATGTCTGCGGGGTGGGAGAGTTATCAAGCACGTAAAGTTTGTTTCAGATGTGAGCATGTACACTGAACAATAATGTACACAAACAATAAAATAAATTCCTTTTATATTTCCCTGCCTTGTTGTTTATGTGTACATACAGAGGAAGAATGTGAGAACAGCACACATTTCATCGTTACTGTGTGTTAGAGCATGGGAGAACAGTGGATACTTTTAATACAGCCCACACCCCTAATACTGTGTAACTATAACAAGTAGAGAACAGAAGAAAAAGATGTTCTTTCTTTACAACTGTCTGCATAGCTTATTCATATTGTGTAATGAATGAAAATAAATAGGCCTACTAGGATCCTCTCTACTTTGACATTTAAGATTAGCTTGTTTGATCCACCTTCATACACATGTGACATTACTGTACAACTTGAGAAAGGTGAGTTGTTTTCTGCTCCAGCCTGCCTAAAAGAAAAGCGTTTTTGGGATTAAATGGACTTTATTAGCTGCTGCAGTGCAGGATGAACTCAGAATAGACCCATTTCTCACCTTATTATTCTAAATCATGCAACGAAGAAGAAGAAATGCATAATAAATCCTGGGACAAAATCTGTACAAATACTGTACAGCATGTAGTCTGATGAACAAGACTTGTGTTATAGCTGACTTGGGCAGTGAAATGTTTTTTTAATTCATGTGGTCATAGTTGTCCACAACTCAAATCAGAATATAAGAAGAAATGTTTTATACCACCTCAAGAAGGCTTCCTATCAGAAAGGTAGGAAGGTATTTCAAATGTACAACTGCAGTACTTAAATCTAAGTAAAGTAATTTCCCTGACATTTTTGTGTTACTTTACTTTTAATAGACCATGTAAGAGGTTTTATACTTCCTGTGAGTATAATCCAATCAATCTTATTTTCATACTGTATATCCGTTGTGTAATTTGATAAATTGTGTTGTATGTCGTGCTCGCATCTCAGAGAAGACTCTGACTGCAACATGCGTCTTTGTAAAGAGAGAAACGGACAGAAAAAGTCTCTAACTCTGCCTGTCAGCTCGCTCTGCTCCGTTAAAACTGAATTTACCATACAGAATTGAATACGAGTGCACTCCAGATTTAGCTGCAGCCAGCTGACCGTGTGCTTCTCCCTATACCGCAGTTCTGTGTCCATGCATGCAGCAAACTGAAAGCACTGTCTGTCGGAGCGTCTACGTGAAAAGAGAAGGAAGACATTGCTGGTAGTATTGTCTTCAGAGTTGTTAAACACCTCAGCGCACTGAAGGAAGCCATCTGACTGTGTGAGGGGCAAGATCGTTGATGTCTGCAGGCAGAGTAGGAGCTCTCCTGTCTGACTGGTCCACCAATAGCAGAGAAGATGACCCCTTGAGACACAGCCCCTCCTCATTTGCATAATGAGGCAGAAATGCATACAAAATTTAAAAAGACAGGCAGAAATAAATACCATGGGTGAAAATAAATAAGGTAAATAAATACAAAGGAAGAATAAAACAGACAAAAATATTAAAACACACACATAAATAAATACATTAAAAAATTAGTAATAAATAAAGTTGAATAAACAAATAAGGTAATTATAACAAAGGTGAATAAGTAAAGGCACTAATAAAAATAAACATTTATGTCTCCTTGTATAATTTAATTACTACCTACATTTATTTATTTACTTTAT